GCGCCGGCGGACCGGTGCAGCTTCTGGTGGTTGCGGAAGGACTCCAGGTAGGAGTAGACCTTGCCGCAGACGGAGCAGACGTACACCGGCTTCCCCTCGCGCGCGCGCCCCCTGATTGACAGCTCCTCCTCCTCCTCCTCCTCCCCACTCCCGGCCGGCTGCTCCCCCCCGCCCTTCCCGATCTTGGACCTCCGGAGGCGTCTCTGTTGGGGGTCCCCCTCCGTCACCCCCTTTTTCTTGGCAGCCCTCTGCGCTCGCTGGCCGTGGACCTGCAGGCGGCCTGGAGACGAGAGAGGAGACACCGATCAGTCCGACCACAAGCTGTCACACCCAGCAGGGATGGGCGTCACCCCGACACCTCGACAGGCGTGGTTGCTGGGGCGCTAGGGCGTCACCCCAACACCTCGACAGGCATGGTTGCTGGGGCACTAGAGAGTCACCCCGACACCTCGACAGGCATGGTTGCTGGGGCACTAGGGAGTCAACCCGACACCTCGACAGGCGTGGTTGCTGGGGCACTAGGGAGTCACCCCGACACCTCGACAGGCGTGGTTGCTGGGGCGCTAGGGAGTCACCCCGACACCTCGACAGAGTTTGATCCTGCTGCAGGGGCAGGAGCCATTGGCTGGGTCACCCCACCGCACCCCACCCTCAACCCGAACTCCCGAGGGGCCGGCCCAGCTCGTCCGCGAGCGGACCTGGGCTCAGCTGGAGTCCCGCGCTGCTGGCCTCTGCCCTCTCGTCCCCGAGGCAGCGGGGGGGCGGCAGCAGCTGTGAGCAGGAGCTCCGCAGGGCTCCCCTCCTCAAATCAAAGGCCACCACCCAGGCCTGGCAGGGTGGAGGAGCTGATCATGACAGACCAGGCTTTTCTTCCGGGTGGATCACCAAGAGGTTCTCAACAGGGGTCGTCCTGCACCAGCGGCCCCACTGCACACAGATCGGGGGAGGAGAGAGAAACTGCAGCACCAGGTGGACTAAGGGGGAACTTTAAGGAGGACAGAGTGGACAAGAACAGAGTGCAGTTCAGTCAAGACACCAGGGTGAACAGCCCTACTACCGCAAAAAAACAACAACAAATCAGGACCTCCGTTTAACATCTCATCTGATGGACAGCTCCTTAAACAGCCGTGTTCCTGGGCATCCATCTGTGTTCAACTGCTGAATCCAATTCAGGGTCGTGAGGCAGCTCGATCCTATCCCAGCAAGCCAAGGGCACAAGATGGGACACACCAGGACACCAGTCCATCACAGGGCACTCAGAGCAGGGCCAATTGTCCCAGAAACCAATGACCCACAGGCATTTCTCTCAAATAAGAAAAAACTCACAAAGTCAGGCACGCAGACAGCGAACCAGGCTTGGAACAGAACCCAGCACACTGGGACGCTGGCGAGGAGAGAGCACCACCTCCTGGCTGTCCTCAGGCCTGCCCAGCCCAGTCCAGCCCCTACAAGGAGGCAAACCTGTCCAGAGCCTCTGAAAATTTGACCAGGGGGGCCCTGCGTTCGAACCCTGTGTGGGACACTGCTGCTGTAGCCTTGAGCAAAGAGACTCCGAGCAGATCACTGCCCAGCTCGGGCAGCCACGCCCACGGGCGAGCAGGCGAAGGAGTGGGACACGGACGCACTGCAAGACCACCACAGATGGGGGGGGGGGAACAGAACACAGGCTCACACACACACACACACACACAGGGCTGCTCTGACCACGCACTTGGGGTGACCTTGAGGCTGAATCAGGGAAACCAGGATGTGAGGAAGAGGTACAGGGGTGCAGGTGCCTCACTGGAGCATGGCAACACCCCAGAGAGAGAGGATCCAGTCTCCAGGCGCGTGTTCCTGGGGGGGCCCCTGTTCTGACCCAAGCATGGCCTGGGATGGGGGGAGTGTGGGGCCTGGAAGCCCCCTGTGACACAGGGGCTGGACGCAAACACGATTCTAACAATTCTCCCTCAGAAAGGGGAGCGATGACGTTCTCGTCACCCTCACGTCACCCGCAGGCGCAGGAGGAAGCACAGGGCTGGTGGTCAGGCAGCCCCCCAGCGTGACCGCGGCTGTTCTGTGGACAACACCCTCAACCTCCCAGGAGACGGCTCCCTGTACCGGCAGCACTGCGATCTGGCCATCACGTGACCAGCCCCCTCTGGACCGACAGGGCCCCCTCGCTGTCTGACCAGTGATCACGTGACCCACCCCCTCTGGACCGACAGCGGCCCCTCGCTGTGTCTGACCAGTCATCACGTGACCCGCCCCCTCTGGACCGACAGGGCTTAGGGTTTACCAAGGGGTAACCTACATTCCCCACTGGACTGGGGCTCTCGGGGAACCAAGCTGGCCAGCCCTCGCGAGAGAGAGAAAACCCGGACGAATTATTCAACAAAACACAGGACAGGAATTTGAGAAAAAACAGGAACTTTCATAATGTCAAGAACCAACAGGCTTTTCAGTACAAGTCCTCTTATGTCATTAAATCTTTATATGTACATTTGTACAGCATATTATACAGAGAAAAGACACCGGAAGAGATAGAAAAAACACCTGGGTTTCAGAATAATGACCGGGATTATTTTTTATGATGTGAAACAGAGACTTTTTGGGTGTTTAACAGTCAAACCCAGGTTCAAACCCTGGCTGCTTCTCAAACCTTAGTTTTCAATTCGCGATTCAGAGGTTTTTCTGGATAACTCCCCTTCCACCCCAACTCCCCCCCCCAAAAAAAAATACAGCAGTATGTTGTCCGAACCGAGAACATAAAAACAAGAACTACACAACAGTCCCTGTAGTGGCGGCTCCCCATGAAGACGAAGACTCCCCAGGAACGACCAGAGCAACGTCCGCACGTCTCAACAGGGGTCCGAACGGACAGCGCTCAAGCTCTCTCCAGGTCCCTGCGTCCCCCCACAGAAAGCCCCGGGAGGGCGAAGGAGGCTTCCATGTTCCCATAATCCTCTGAATCCCATCCCATCCTCCTCCTCCTCCTCCCCGCCCCGGCCCCGGTCCCGGCCCGGCGGATCAGACGCGGCCCTGAGCGTGCTCGATGTAGTGCTGGTGCAGCTTGCTCTCCTGCCCGAACGCGGTCCCGCACTCGATGCAGGACAGCGGCCCCTCGCCCGCCCCGCCCCGCTCCCGGGGAGGTTCCCTGCTCCGCTCGGCCGGCCCCGGCCTCCGGGCGAACGCTTTCGGGCACAGGGACCAGCGGAAGGGCTTCTGGCCCGAGTGGGCCGCCCGGTGCCGCTGGAGGACGGGGCTGGAGGGGAACCCCATGCCGCAATCGGGGCACACGTGGGGCCGGGGGTCCAGGGGAGGACTCGACGGGGCCGAGGGAGGAGGAGGCTGAAGTTCCACTCCGGGGGCGTCGTCCACCTCCTCGGGCCGGTGGCCGCAGTCCAGCTGGTGCCGGTCCAGGTCCGACCACTTGTCGAAGGTCCGGCCGCAGGGCCGGCAGGCGAGGTCCAGCCCCCCGCCGGCCGCCGCGCCCAGGCGGTAGCGCAGGCTGACGGGCAGGCGGCGGCGCACCTCGTCGTGCCAGGACAGGTGCTGCTGCAGCTGCGCCTCGGACCAGTAGCCCCGGCAGCAGAGGGCGCAGCAGTGGGGCCGGGCGCTGGCCAGCTGCCCGTGCGCCTGCAGCTGCCCCCGGCTGGAGAAGGCCTTGCCGCACTTGGGGCACTTGTAGAGGCACACGGCGCGCTCGGGCGAAGGCGGCGGGGCGGGCGCGCGGCGGGGGCTGGGCAGCTTCCTCCCGGCCTTGGGCAGGCCGCAGCCCTTGCGGTGGTTGTACAGGGCGCCCTGCGAGCTGTAGCTCTTGTCGCAGTCGGGGCAGGGGAACGGCTTCGGCGGGGCGCCCTCCCCCCCGCAGTGCTTGTACCACCAGTGGGCCCCGAGCCCGCCGGGCCGGAAGAAGCGCTCGCCGCAGTCGGAGCACGCGAGCGGCCTGCGCCTCTTCCTCTTCGGGCGCTCTCGCCCGCCCGGCCCGCCCGAAGTCTTCGGCGAGGGGTCGCCGCTGTCCCGGGACTCCCCGAGAGAGGAGAAGGGAGCCGGGAACGTCCCAGGGACAGGGGACGCGGCTGGAGTCGGCGGGGGAGACGGTCCAGAAGCTTCCGATCCCGGAACCCCTTCGGACCGCGAGGACGTGCCGTTACCCTTGCCGAGGAGCTGCCCGGCCCAGGACCCCCCGTTAGCGCTGGGAGGCGGGTCTGCCCCCGAAGCCCGGAGTGCGGTCCAGGCAGCGGCGACGAGAGCGCGGTCTCCGATCAGGTAGCCGTGGCTCTGCATGTGAAACTGCAGGGCTGTGGCGCGAGAGAACGGCTTCCGGCATTCCGGGCAGCTGTAGGGCTCCTGGGCGCCGGGGGGCGCAGGGGCGCCGGCGGCGTGACCCCGCTGGTGCTTGAGGAAGCAGGCCAGGGAGCGGTAGGCCTTCCCGCAGACGGCGCACTTGCGGAGGACCTTGGGAACGCAGCGGAAGCCCTCCCGGGGGGCGGCCCGCTCCTCGCCCGGCGGCTCGGCTTTGCAGTCGGAGGAGTGCCGGCGCCGCCGGTGGTCCTGGAGGGCCACGGGGGACCAGAAGCCCTTCCCGCAGGCCTCGCAGCTGTACATCTTGGGGCCCAGGAGGGTCTTCCTCGGGTCGAAGCCGCCGGCGGCGGCCGGGCGGGGGCCCGCGGAGTGCTGGGCCTTGCGGTGGGCGTAGAGCGCGGCGGGGCTGCTGT